CGGGGCCGGATCTCTCCAGTAAACAGCAGCGTCCAAAGCCAGGCAGACAAGGAGCCTGGCAGAGCCTGGCAGAGCCTGGAGCCAGGTATCCCCTGGGACCTGGCAAAGCCCAGAGCCGGGTGCTCCTGGAGCAAAGCCCAGAGCCAGGCATCCTCTGGGACCAGGCAAAGCCTGGAGCTGGGTACCTTCAGGGGCCCATGTGACGAAGCGGGGGTTGTATTCACTCTGTGTGCATGTTTGTTGCATGTGATTTCTACTGCCCTGTGCTGTTCTGCAGTAAATTCTGTGTGTGTGCGTGTGCGTGTGTGTGTGTGTGTGCGCGCGCCTCAGTTTCCCTGCACTATCTCGACGGGGATGGGAATTCTGCAGGTGACTCTGAGGCTCTCTTGTAATCTGAGCCTGGTTGGGGGTGTGACCAGGGGACCCCCTTTTCCCAGGGAAGGGGACTAAGGCAGGGGCGGGGCTGCCTGCAGGGCTGGGACGGGTTGCTGGGGTGTGAGTCAGTCTGGGCTGGTTTAGGCTGCAGGGAGGGGGCAGCGCCCTGGCTCTGGGCCCCTCTCCCCAGACTGGGCTGCCCCGGCTGCTCTCGGTCCCTGTGCGGACCAGTGTGTGCTATGCCGGGTCCCCCCCCCCTGCTCCCTGCCGGCTGAGTCGCCTCTGGCTGAGGCTGGGGGGGCAGGGCCCGGGGGCTCCTCACTCCCCAGGGACAGCCTGGCAGCCAGGGATTCCCCAGGGGCCTCGCAGTACCCAGCTCATGCTGCCTGCAGCCTGCTCCCAGCAGCCTGGCAGTGCCAATCGCCTGCTGCCCACAGAGCCCGAGTAGGTGGGGGGGAGGGCTGTTCCCAAGCCCTGAGCCATTGCTGGGGTGGAGGGGGGAGGCTGTTATTGCCAGGGGCCTTTTGGCACTGCCCCGCTGTTCCTGAGCCCTGAGCCGTTGCTGGGGGGGTGGAGGGGGCTCACCGGGACGACTCGCACGTGGGTTTCCGGCGTCCCTGGGTGTTCTTCTCCCAGATGCTGTTGGCCGTCTCGTTGCCGATGGACGTCAGCACCAGGGTGAGCTCCCGAGGCCAGTCGTCGAGGTCCAGCGAGCGCACCCGGGACAGGTGGGTGCCCAGGTTCCGGTGGATGCCTGAGCACTCGATGCAGATCAGCGCCCCCAGGTTAAGGCTGGCCCAGGTGGGGTCTGGGGGAGGGGGCAGGAGAGGGTCCCAGCAGTGCTGGGCACCTGGGAGCCAGCCGGCCAGAGAGTCCGGCCCCAGCCTCTGTGCCACCCTCCCCCGGGCGCGCCACTTACTCGGTGCCCCGCAGTCCACACACAGGGAGTTGCCTCTGGCGTTGCGGATGGCCTGGATTGCCACGGCCTCGCTCTGGCTGTCCATCCGGGCCTGCGGGGAGCAAAGGGGGGCAGCTGGAGAGCGGGGCACAAGCCCCCTCGGAGATCCGGAGCTGAAATGTCCCCGGTCTGCAGACTGGCAGACTGCCCCGTGAGGGGCACGCGAGCCTCCGGCTGCATCCCAGTCCTGGGCAGGGAGCCAATGGGAGACCTAAGTGGTACCCAGGCCTGGAGGCCCCAGTGTGAGGAATTCCTGAAGGCCTGGAACACCCCGAGAAAGGGGTTTGGCTCGGCTCTGCCCCAGCCGTCACAGAATCCTAGAACGGGAAGGGACCCTGAGAGGTCACCAAGTCCAGTCTCCTGCCCTCCCGGCAGGACCAAGCACCATCGAGACCATCCCTGGCAGGTGTCTGTGCAACCTGCTTGAAATATCTCCAGGGATGGAGATTCCATAACCTCCCTAAGCGATTTATCCCAGTGCTTCACCACCCCGACAGGCAGGAAGTTTTTCCTAATGTCCGACCTCAACCTCCCTGGCTGCAGTTTAAGCCCATTGCTTCTTGTCCTGTCCTCAGAGGCCAAGGAGAATGTTTTTCTCCCTCCTCCTTGTAACACCCTTTTTTGTACTTGAAAGCTGCTGTCATGTCCCCTTTCAGTCTTCTCTTTTCCCGACTAACCAAACCCAATTCTTTCGGTCTCCCATCCCAGGTCATTTTTCTTAGCCCCTTAATTATTTCCATTGCTCTTCTCTAGGGCTGTCAAGCGATTAAAAAATGTAAGCGCGATTAATGGTGCGATTGATTGCGTGCGCCTCCCCTTTGAAACGCCACGGCAGCGTTTCAACCGGGCAGCGCTGCATGGAGCCCGGGATCAGCTGGAGTCCCCAGCTGACCCCGGGCTCCATGCAGCACTGCCCCTTTGCGACACCATAGGGAGTCCAGTGTCAGGCTGCTTTTCATTCCCGCATAGGGTTAGGTAGA